ACGCGTTCCCGGAGCCGATATTCCTGCCGCCCTTTGTAAGCCTTGGCAAGCATCACCTTCGCCCAGCAGCCGGACTGGGAAGGAAGGGCAGGTGATGTGTTCTCTGCTCTCTAGGTGAGGAAAGTAAGCCTGGGAGAGGTGAAGGTGACTTGTCCAAGGTCACGTACGGCTTGGAAACCAGGTTCGGACGCCTTCTATTGTCTTTGGAGATATGGGTGACTGGCTAAATTTCCCACCCTCACCATCATCCCACTGCCATGTAGTCACACACATCTACTGAATTTAAAATCCTGTTTTAAAAAGTATGTATTACCCTCTTCAACTAATCAGAGCCAGTATTTAGGGAAGATTTGCTATGTGCATGACCCGGATTAGAATCTTCGCCTACATTCTCTCCAATTCTTTGTTACAGTCCTACAGGTAGTGTCTCGTTTCGTCCCCATTCTACAGATGAGGAAGTTGAGACCCAGAGAGTTAGTTATGTCCACGATGGCACAAATTCAGAGTTGGGCTAGAACTCTGGTTGGACTGCCAGTCCATCGTTCTGACCGCCACATCTTGCTAGGTGAGCCCCAGATGAGGAAGGCAGTAAGATCATAAAACCATTTTTTTTTTAAAGTCCACCACCATTTGCATTCTACCATACTGCTTCCCATCTCAGGAGGAATTTTCTAATCCCATTGGAAAATGAATTTAACTCATAAAATTCAAAATGTTGGTGTGAAAAGCCACCACAAGCAAAGCAAAGCCACATTAGGAAAATATTTTCAGTGTCAATAAGAGGCAGTGTACTTAATATAAAAAGCTAATATAAATCAAAAAGAAAACAATGGGAAGCTGACTTGTCTTATTCACACACACACAAAAAAAAACAGTAAATATATAACACAAATTTAACCCCTGTGAATCAGAATCAACTCAACAGCAGTGGGTTTGATTTAGTTTAGTAAAAAGGCAGATAAAAATCACAAGGTTTTTTGGGGGGGGGATTTTTTGGGCTAATTTACAAAGGTTAAAAGGTCTGACAAAACTTAGCACTATTAATTTATACATTATGGGAGGGCAACTTAACCTGTATTACAAACCTTGAAAATCTATATACCTTTTAATCTAAGAATTGCAGTTTTTGGTAATTATCCTAAAGAAATCGTTGGACAAACATACAAAAATGCATATATAAGGATGTTCATCACAGCATTTTTTATAGTAAAATAGAACCGAAATGTCTATCCGTGGGACAAGTTAAATAAACCACCTCTCTGTACAGTAAAGGTCCTGGGGTTTACACTTGACTGCTCATCTAAGGCTGGTAGTTTGAACCCATGTAGTGGCACCAAGAAAGGACGGCCTGGCGACCTGCTTCCGAAAGATCCCAGCCTTTGAAAGCCCGGAGCAGTCCTGCTCTGTCTTACATGAGGTGGCTGGGAGTCAGACCCCATACAACAGCAGACACCTTCGTTTGGTCTTCCCTCGGTACAATGGAGGGTTTTGCAGCTTGCCCGGTGATGGTCCTTAGGTTATGTATATGTGAGAAAAGCAGGATCCTTATGTGGATTCCTAAGAAAATTCTAGTCTAAAATGTATGTATGTGTGTATGTAAAGTCAAGAAGAATATACAGCAATATGTTGGCAGTGCTTTTTATGTTAAAGATGGGCTTAAGAACAGTGCTACCTGCTTATATATTTTTCTATATTGTCTGAATTTTTTCCACGAAACTTTTTTTATAATTTAAAAAATACTATTTCTTTTTTAAAATTTTTAATTTCATCATGCTTTTTGTGATGAAATAAATTTTCATCTTTAACATTTTATTAAGGTATACCTTATACTTCTATTAGCAAAAAAAAAAAAAAAAAAACACTGCCATCAAATCAATTCTGACTCACAACGACCCCAATTGGGTTTCCAAGACTATAAATATTTAGGGAAGTAGATAGCCCCATCTTCCTCCAGCAGAGCAGTTGCTGGGTTTGAACCATCAACCTCCTGGTTAGCAGCCAAATGCCTTACCCGCTACACCACTAATGATGTTCAAGTACAGGATCTCTGATAGACTATTTTTCGAAAATATTCACTCCCTCTGCTCACCTCCACAGAATAGACTTTCCTACTGTTGTCTTATATACGTCCTTGTATGGCAAGGACTATGGGGCTGGCACAGGACGGGGCAGTGTTTCCTTCTGTTGCACGTAGGGTCGCCATTAGGACTTCTTTCTGTAACTAGACAGATGGTTTACAAAGGCCAGAATTTGGGCTGGGCAGGAGTGTGAGGTAGGGTTTGCCATTGTCATTCTCTCTCCACGTCTATTTATTTATCACACTCAACTGTCGTTGTTAATTTTCGGATGTGTCTCTTCCCCTGGACAGAGAGGACAGGGTTATCTCTTGCCCCCAGAGGCTGCTGGGTTTTCTTGCATGTGCCAAACGCTCATTAGGAGTTTCTCGAAGGAGCGCAAGGTTTTCTATGACCAAAGCTTTACTAAGGGCAGAAGAGGCCACTACCTCTGGCATTTTTTCAAACAGGAGCCAGTAAATCCCCTTTGATTGTTTAAGTAAATTGGGGTTCTGTCCTTTAGAACTGAAAACAGTCTGATACAGTAATATTCCTCCCACCCACTTTGTTGTATTTCCATTTTATAAAGTGAGATAAGTGACCTACCCAAGGCTACACAGCTAGGAAGTGGGAGTCACCCAACTCCATCTGATTCCAAAGCCCCACCACATCACTATCCTAAAAGCTGGAGAAGCGGCATCACCTGATCCACAGTGGAGCAAAGATGGGCACCACAAGACTGCAGCCCCCAGGGAGTGTGCAGGAGCCATCCTGAGTACTCTGCCAGAGTGACGGGACACATTTTGGGGGGCTTGGGGAGATGCAGGGGTTCTCATGATTACATTAGTGAGGCATTTTATAGTTCCCACATCTTAATGGTACTCAGTCATGTGGAGCGTAGCCAGAAATCAAGGAAGCAAAGGTTACAGACTGCATCTGAAAGGTTATGTCTGGACAAAAACTGCTATGGGAATCCAGAGAGGTAGCCCGTGCTGCCTGGAAGAACAGGCTTCTATAATTCTGTGAGTGTTTGGGCTTCTCACCCAAACAGTCCCTGTGAGTGGGAGGAAGACTGAGTGGAAGCTTCTCTGGGTTTTTCCTGCAGGTCTTCTTGTCATTCAATTATGAAGCACTGCTCTGAATAAAGAATTAAGATTTCTCCTGATCTTCCACCAAATGGAAAATTTCAACTGCAATTCAAAATTTTTCCAAGGTTTACCTCATAAAGGATTGTCTCAGAGAAGCAGCTTCTTTAGCAAAGACATCCACACAGAAATGGTAGTAGGAGGTATAGCCTGGTAATTAATTAAGAGTGTAGGCTCTGGAACCAGACCATCTGGTTTGGCATCTTAGCTCTGCCAATTGCTAGCTATATGACCTTGAGCAAGTTACTTAACATCTCTATATGGTTATATTTCATAATCTGCAACATGGAGATAAAATTTTTCTATATGCCATAGGGTTAGTGTAAGGATTAAATGAGTTCATATATATATATAGCACTCAGAATCGTGCTTAGCACATCATAAGACAAACAGCTGCCATCGCGTCAAGTCTGACTCACAGCAACCCCTGTGTGTCACAGTGGAACCATGCTCCACAGGGTTTTCTGTGTGACTGATGTTACAGAACGTTGCCAGGTCTCTGTGCTGAGGCATCCCTGGGTGGGCTCAGACCTCCAAACTTCCCTTGAGGTTAGCAGCCAAGCACTCAAGGAACTCCACGAACCACCATTTTATAGAGAGAGTCACCGTCAATGCATGGCAGTCCGTGTACATCAGAGTACAACTGTGCTCCACAGGGTTTTCAAAGGGACACCACAAAAAATTGACTAGAAGTGGCCTGTAAGCACTGCATGTTAACAGTATTAGTGTACTTAGGATTATTAGGCCAAGAGCTCCACATGGATTACCTAATATAATGCTCCCAAAAACCTCATGGGGAGTGCTCTTACTATCCTCATTTTTGTAGATGACAATACTAAAGTTTGGAGAAGTGAAGTCATTTCTCCCAGGTAATGCAGTAATGGGCAGCAGGGCTGGGACTCAAGGCTAGGTCTGCCTGACTCCCAAAACTGCTGAATCAAAACGCAAAGACTTAGAGCCAGCAGTCAGAGGAGCTCCTCTGGGCCCACAGGCTACTCAGGAGACCTGCAGGAGGGCAGCCTGGTGACTGGCAGCAGAGGAAACTGCTGAGAGACAAGGCTTTGACAAACAGCCAGGTGGCGTAAAGGGGAGGACGAGAGGTTATAGTCAAGAGTCCGGGAACTGGAGAATGGCAGCCCCTGAGCTAGAGGCATGCAAGGTGGAGCCAGGGACGTGAAGGGTGTGTTGGTTGGCGTTGCCATGGAGTCAGCTCCA